ATGGGAGAAGTGAAACGGATCCTCTGATAGGGAAGTACTGCGGCAGCTCCCTACCCGCTCCCATCCGCTCATCCTCCAACTCCCTGTGGATCCGCTTTAAGTCTGACAGCTCAGTCAGCCGAGCCGGCTTCAGGGCAGTCTACAGCGTTGGTGAGGTTTCACATCACATACCCTACCACAGAGACACCTTTACATGTCCCAGATTCCTGCTCATTAGGACTAACTTTATTATTATAGAACTAGACAACCCAACGTGCTGAACATCAACAGAACCTGAGAGAAGAAAACATGCAGAATAAATTCTATGATAGAAGCAGGACTTAAACTAATGTTTGGTTTGTCTTTTCCTAAAGGAGTTACAAATTAAAGCGTTATCTCTGTCACACAAAGTTCTTGAATTAAAAAACTAAGGACTTTATAACAAGGTTTTAGCCTCAATGATGGTGAGAAACAAGATAAAGACTTTAAAGCATTAAAAGAACAGTTGGTTCAGGTTGCATCAGGTCCCAGTCCAGTAGAACCAGTAAAGGAAGAGCAATGGAAACTGGGTGGAACCGCTCTAAGTAGAACCTCTGGAAAACAAACTGTTTTCATTTATCTTCCGGGATGGATGGTGCAGCTCTTCTTCTAGGAATCAGTCCTCCAAAGGGTGCAGACCAGGAAGCAGAGTCGTAGTTTACCAGACCTCTCTGCAGCTTCTCTACTGTTACCGTCTCATTACTCCATCCAAACAATGCCTTGCCCACGACCAAAAACTAATAAATCAGAAAATCATTTAAAGTAATAAATCCTAAAAAAATAATGAAAACTCTCATAGAAATCAATATGAAACGATTGTAAAAATTAAACCATTTAAAGCAGTTTAGTGAACATCTGATCTCTCTCCAAATACTTTATTTAATGACTTGATTTTTTGATCATATTTTGATCTGGTCTCACAGAAACCTGGCTGCATCAAGGGGATTTTGTTAGAAAAAACGATTCAACTCCTGCCCAGAATTTTTCCATTAATTATTTGGAGAGGAGAAGAAGTACAAGCTTCTTCAGTGTATTCTATTTTTATAGATCTACCTGAAAAAAGAAATTGTTCCCCTGCATTTTTTAGGGGTTGCTTATTATTTCTATTGAACTAATTAATTCATTTCTAACAGACAATGATCTAGACAAATCTCAAAAGAAAATAGTTTCTACCATCCATATGCTCCATAGATATTTTATGCAGCAATCAAACCCTTCTTAGTTTGGCTTCAAACATTCAGACGTTCTGGGTTTGCACCAATGTACCTCACAAATGTGTTCTGCAGCAATCCAACCTTCATGTATGTAAAGTAGCTGCCATTCAAAATGGTCCTTCCCAGTCAAACACCAGCCGAATGGCAGCCAACTGCCCTGTAACTCCCAGCGAAATCCCCGCCTACTTCCAGCCACCGGAGTGAGCCCCTCTTGTATATTTCTACTCTGACTCCACCCTTTCACTGAATTACAGGGTCTGACCAGGAGATGGCGCTTCTCTTTAGATCTTAATGTCCACAGATCATTACAGAAATAAAATTTAGCACAAAGATAGATGTTTAAAAGGAATTGTAGGAGATCAGCCAAGGACCAGCAATGGATTAGCCAAGGACCAGCCAAAGGCCAGCCAAGGGCCAACAGAGGACCAGCCAAGGACCAGCAATGGATTAGCCAAAGGCCAGCCAAGGGCCAGCCAAGGGCAAGCAAAGAACCAGCCAAGGACCAGCAATGGATTAGCCAAAGGCCAGCCAAAGGCCAGCCAAGGGCCAACAGAGGACCAGCCAAGGACCAGCAATGGATTAGCCAAAGGCCAGCCAAAGGCCAGCAAGGGCAAGCAAAGAACCAGCCAAGGACCAGCAATGGATTAGCCAAGGACCAGCCAAAGGCCAGCCAAGGGCCAACAGAGGACCAGCCAAGGGCAAGCAAAGAACCAGCCTCGGACCAGCCAAGGACCAGCCAAAGGCCAGCCAAGGGCCAACAGAGGACCAGCCAAGGGCAAGCAAAGAACCAGCCTCGGACCAGCCAAGGACCAGCAATGGATTAGCCAAGGACCAGCCAAAGGCCAGCCATGGGCCAACAGAGGACCAGCCAAGGGCAAGCAAAGAACCAGCCTCGGACCAGCCAAGGACCAGCCAAGGACCAGCAATGGATTAGCCAAAGGCCAGCCAAAGGCCAGCCATGGGCCAACAGAGGACCAGCCAAGGGCAAGCAAAGAACCAGCCTCGGACCAGCCAAGGACCAGCAATGGATTAGCCAAGGACCAGCCAAAGGCCAGCCATGGGCCAACAGAGGACCAGCCAAGGGCAAGCAAAGAACCAGCCTCGGACCAGCCAAGGACCAGCCAAGGACCAGCAATGGATTAGCCAAAGGCCAGCCAAGGGCCAACAGAGGACCAGCCAAGGGCAAGCAAAGAACCAGCCTCGGACCAGCCAAGGACCAGCCAAAGGCCAGCCAAGGGCCAACAGAGGACCAGCCAAGGGCAAGCAAAGAACCAGCCTCGGACCAGCCAAGGACCAGCAATGGATTAGCCAAGGACCAGCCAAAGGCCAGCCAAGGGCCAACAGAGGACCAGCCAAGGGCAAGCAAAGAACCAGCCTCGGACCAGCCAAGGACCAGCAATGGATTAGCCAAGGACCAGCCAAAGGCCAGCCAAGGGCCAACAGAGGACCAGCCAAGGGCAAGCAAAGAACCAGCCTCGGACCAGCCAAGGACCAGCAATGGATTAGCCAAGGACCAGCCAAAGGCCAGCCAAGGGCCAACAGAGGACCAGCCAAGGGCAAGCAAAGAACCAGCCTCGGACCAGCCAAGGACCAGCAATGGATTAGCCAAAGGCCAGCCAAGGGCCAACAGAGGACCAGCCAAGGGCAAGCAAAGAACCAGCCTCGGACCAGCCAAGGGCTGGCCAAGGACAACCAAGGACCAGGCAATGACTAGCTAAGGGCCAGCCTAGAAACAGCCAAGAACCAGCCGAGGACCAGCAAAGGGCCAGCCAAGGATCAGCCAATGATTAGCCCAGGGCCAGCCAAGGACCAGCCAACAACTGGCCAAAGATTCAGCTAAGGACCAGCCAAGGGCCAGCCAAGAACTGGCCAAAGATTCAGCTAAGGACCAGCCAAGAACCAGCCGAGGGCAGCAAAGGGCCCGCCAAGAACCAGCCGAGGACCAGCAAAGGGCCAGCAAAGGGCCAACCAACAACTGGCTAAAGATTCAGCTAAGGACCAGCCAAGGACAAGCCAAGGATCGGCCCAAAACCAGCCAAGGACCAGCCAAAGACCAACCGAAGATCAGCCAAGAACCAGCCAAGGACCAGCCAAGGAAAGTGGGGAAATTTTGAATGGCTACTTCTGTAGGATCTGACCTTTTATTTTCAAATGTACCAAATTCTCTTTGACCTTCCTACGCTGACTTCCTGTCTGGCTCGTCTAGTTTTTAGAAGTTAATGCGTTTTGCTCGGTCATCCATAATAAATAGAACTAATCCATGAATGAGGGGATGAAAAGGCTTAGAAGGTCTTTTCTTTTAGGATTTATCTTTGGTGGTTAGATCAGGTATTTCCGGTTGGAAGGCCTCCTTACCATCACCCTTATCTTCAGCTGCCTTTCCACTCAGCTCCCTGACTATGCTGCTCCAAAATGCTAGCACTGGTTGTAGAGCAATAAACGTATAGAAATAATATATGTTTCTTTCTTCCAAGCCTGTGGAGGAACCCTTTCTGGGACTGGGACATTCCGCTCTCCTTACCACCCAGACCCATATCCCCACAACAAAGTCTGTGAGTGGGTCATTAACCAGCAGGAGGGCTATGTGGTCACACTCAATTTCCTGTCTTTTGATGTGGAAGGAGGATCCTGCAGGTTTGACTTTGTTGAGGTAAAGTCCCCCATTTCTGTAATCTATTAACATTTATTTAGGTGTAGGTTTTCATTCATAGTAGAACAAATAATTAATATGAAGGACAAATACATTCAGGGATCAGTTGGCTCCTAACAATGGTTGGAAGCTGAATAACAGGGTGGGTGTGATGGGGCTCACATTTAACCCGTCATGTCAGTCACTTCAATGTTTATAGTCTTTTAAGGTCCAGTTAAGTGCAGGTGGGCCGACATCATCTGCAATAAAAACACCTAAAATAAGATTTGATCAACAAAGTTCATCTGGAATCTGGCAGCTAAGGCCGCTGTCCTGGAGGGCCGTTGTCCTGGAGGGCTGCTGTCCTGGAAGGCAGCTGTCCTGGAGGGCCGCTGTCCTGGAAGGCAGCTGTCCTGGAGGGCCGCTGTCCTGGAGGGCTGCTGTCCTGGAAGGCAGCTGTCCTGGAGGGCCGTTGTCCTGGAGGGCCGCTGTCCTGGAAGGCAGCTGTCCTGGAGGGCCCCTGTCCTGGAAGGCAGCTGTCCTGGAGGGCCGCTGTCCTGGAAGGCCGCTGTCCTGGAGGGCCGCTGTCCTGGAGGGCCGCTGTCCTAGAGGGCTGCTGTCCTAGAGGGCCGCTGCCCTGGAGGGCCGCTGTCCTAGAGGGCCGCTGCCCTGGAGGGCTGCTGTCCTAGAGGGCCGCTGTCCTAGAGGGCTGCTGTCCTAGAGGGCCGCTGTCCTGGAGGGCCGCTGTCCTGGAAGGCAGCTGTCCTGGAGGGCCGCTGTCCTGGAAGGCAGCTGTCCTGGAGGGCCGCTGTCCTGGAAGGCCGCTGTCCTGGAGGGCCGCTGTCCTAGAGGGCCGCTGCCCTGGAGGGCTGCTGTCCTAGAGGGCCGCTGTCCTGCAGGGCCGCTGTCCTGGAAGGCAGCTGTCCTGGAGGGCCGCTGTCCTGGAAGGCAGCTGTCCTGGAGGGCCGCTGTCCTGGAAGGCAGCTGTCCTGGAGGGCCGCTGTCCTGGAAGGCCGCTGTCCTGGAGGGCCGCTGTCCTGGAGGGCCGCTGTCCTAGAGGGCTGCTGTCCTAGAGGGCCGCTGCCCTGGAGGGCCGCTGTCCTAGAGGGCCGCTGCCCTGGAGGGCTGCTGTCCTAGAGGGCCGCTGTCCTAGAGGGCTGCTGTCCTAGAGGGCCGCTGTCCTGGAGGGCCGCTGTCCTGGAAGGCAGCTGTCCTGGAGGGCCGCTGTCCTGGAGGGCTGCTGTCCTAGAGGGCCGCTGTCCTAGAGGGCTGCTGTCCTGGAGGGCTGCTGTCCTGGAAGGCAGCTGTCCTGGAGGGCCGCTGTCCTGGAAGGCAGCTGTCCTGGAGGGCCGCTGTCCTGGAGGGCCGCTGTCCTGGAGGGCCGCTGTCCTAGAGGGCCGCTGCCCTGGAGGGCTGCTGTCCTAGAGGGCCGCTGTCCTGCAGGGCCGCTGTCCTGGAAGGCAGCTGTCCTGGAGGGCCGCTGTCCTGGAGGGCTGCTGTCCTGGAGGGCCGCTGCTCTGGAGGGATGTTGTCCTGGAGGGCCGCTGTCCTGGAGGGATGTTGTCCTGGAGGGCCGCTGTCCTGGAGGGCCGCTGTCCTGGAGGGCTGCTGTCCTAGAGGGCTGCTGTCCTGGAGGGCTGCTGTCCTAGAGGGCTGCTGTCCTGGAGGGCTGCTGTCCTAGAGGGCTGCTGTCCTGGAGGGCTGCTGCCCTGGAGGGCTGCTGTCCTAGAGGGCCGCTGTCCTAGAGGGCTGCTGTCCTAGAGGGCCGCTGTCCTGGAGGGCCGCTGTCCTGGAAGGCAGCTGTCCTGGAGGGCCGCTGTCCTGGAGGGCTGCTGTCCTAGAGGGCCGCTGTCCTAGAGGGCTGCTGTCCTGGAGGGCTGCTGTCCTGGAAGGCAGCTGTCCTGGAGGGCCGCTGTCCTGGAAGGCCGCTGTCCTGGAGGGCCGCTGTCCTGGAAGGCCGCTGTCCTGGAGGGCCGCTGTCCTAGAGGGCCGCTGCCCTGGAGGGCTGCTGTCCTAGAGGGCCGCTGTCCTGCAGGGCCGCTGTCCTGGAAGGCAGCTGTCCTGGAGGGCCGCTGTCCTGGAGGGCTGCTGTCCTGGAGGGCCGCTGCTCTGGAGGGATGTTGTCCTGGAGGGCCGCTGTCCTGGAGGGATGTTGTCCTGGAGGGCCGCTGTCCTGGAGGGCCGCTGTCCTGGAGGGCTGCTGTCCTAGAGGGCTGCTGTCCTGGAGGGCTGCTGTCCTGGAGGGCTGCTGTCCTAGAGGGCTGCTGTCCTGGAGGGCTGCTGTCCTAGAGGGCTGCTGTCCTGGAGGGCTGCTGTCCTGGAGGGCTGCTGTCCTGGAGGGATGTTGTCCTGGAGGGCCGCTGTCCTGGAGGGCCGCTGTCCTGGAGGGCTGCTGTCCTAGAGGGCTGCTGTCCTGGAGGGCTGCTGTCCTGGAGGGCCGCTGTCCTGGATGGCTGCTGTCCTAGAGGGCTGCTGTCCTGGAGGGATGTTGTCCTGGAGGGCTGCTGTCCTGGAGGGCTGCTGTCCTGGAGGGCTGCTGTCCTAGAGGGCTGCTGTCCTGGAGGGCTGCTGTCCTGGAGGGCTGCTGTCCTGGAGGGATGTTGTCCTGGAGGGCCGCTGTCCTGGAGGGCTGCTGTCCTAGAGGGCTGCTGTCCTGGAGGGCCGCTGTCCTGGAGGGCTGCTGTCCTGGAGGGCCGCTGTCCTGGAGCGCTGCTGTCCTGGAGGGCTGCTGTCCTGGAGGGATGTTGTCCTGGAGGGCTGCTGTCCTAGAGGGCTGCTGTCCTGGAGGGCCGCTGTCCTGGAGGGCTGCTGTCCTGGAGGGCCGCTGCCCTGGAGGGCTGCTGTCCTGGAGGGCCGCTGTCCTGGAGGGCTGCTGTCCTGGAGGGCCGCTGTCCTAGAGGGCCGCTGCCCTGGAGGGCTGCTGTCCTAGAGGGCCGCTGTCCTGCAGGGCCGCTGTCCTGGAAGGCAGCTGTCCTGGAGGGCCGCTGTCCTGGAGGGCTGCTGTCCTGGAGGGCCGCTGCTCTGGAGGGATGTTGTCCTGGAGGGCCGCTGTCCTGGAGGGATGTTGTCCTGGAGGGCCGCTGTCCTGGAGGGCCGCTGTCCTGGAGGGCTGCTGTCCTAGAGGGCTGCTGTCCTGGAGGGCTGCTGTCCTGGAGGGCTGCTGTCCTAGAGGGCCGCTGTCCTGCAGGGCCGCTGTCCTGGAAGGCAGCTGTCCTGGAGGGCCGCTGTCCTGGAGGGCTGCTGTCCTGGAGGGCCGCTGCTCTGGAGGGATGTTGTCCTGGAGGGCCGCTGTCCTGGAGGGATGTTGTCCTGGAGGGCCGCTGTCCTGGAGGGCCGCTGTCCTGGAGGGCTGCTGCCCTGGAGGGCTGCTGTCCTGGAGGGCCGCTGCCCTGGAGGGCTGCTGTCCTGGAGGGCTGCTGTCCTAGAAGGGGAGGACTGCTGTTATTAGGAGATCTGTCTGACCTGTGGAAGATAGATAAATCTAACAGAGAACAGCCTAGATGAACTAATGTTGTTTTTCCTCCAAATGTTAAAGTGTGAGAAAGTCCTTTATGCAGGGGGTGGGTTGGTTCCCCTGGGGGTAGTGTGTGTGTCGGGATTTCTATAAGGTATAAATGTATGTACTGAGGTTGCCTCAGTCAGAGCTCTATCTCTCCATCTGAGGATGGTTTTCATTGATAGCTGATTAACAGATTATTGCTGAACTGCAACCATCAGAATCAGCTGTGCTGAAGCCGAGGAACCTCTGAAACCCGCAGGACAGCGGCCCTCAGGGACCCACTTTGGGGATGCCTGCTATAAAGGCTTTTTCACTGATATACCAGCACATCCATGTGACATGACACTAGATATTATCATTGTGAAATGCATGTGTTTATAAGTCCAGGTGGGGATCATTTAAACCATTTTAATGTATTAGAAATGTTTATAATTTCAGAGGCCTGAGACGTGTTGTTAATTGGCCCAGTATTAATGAACTGAATGGAATTGCAGATATATCCAATAATGTCCAACGGGACACTTGTTGGACCATGTGTGTTCTCTGCTCACAGGTCAGGGATGGATCTACTCCTAGCTCTCCTCTGCTGGGGAAGATCTGTGGGGACCAGGTTCCTCCAAGGCTCCAGTCCACACAGAAATCCATGTACATCCAGTTCAGCACAGACTCGTCTGTCAGCAACCATGGCTTCCAAGCAGCCTTTGACTCGGCCATTGAGGGTGAGAGAGTAAACGCCTGGTGATCATTGGATGTGAAGCTGATTAGAGTCAGAGCTACATCAGTGCTCTGACCTCTGCTGGATTTCTGGGCGTATTACATCTAGAGCCTTTTTTCTGTTGGTCCAATGATTTCCTCCAACAGTCAGGCAAACAGACATGCCAAGCTAGTTGGATCATTGCTCTGAGTTTTTTCTATGGTTGATTAAAAACAACGTTGTGAAACACACTATTTTTTAATTTGGGTGATATGAAGGGAGAGCTCAGAAAAGACACAGCAGAGCAGGGACAGAGCAGGGAGGCGCAGGAAAATGGGACCGCCTCCTCCCAGAGTCAGAGCAGAGATTTTAACCTATATTGTCAACCGTTCTGCTCTTTCTGTGGGCAGGAATGAAGCTTTTCTGTTTGCTGCTAATTCATAACATGTCTGCCATGTTTAGCTTCAGCTAGCTGTAGTTTTTTCAGCTTTTTTATTTTCTGCTACTTCATACCCTTTTCTAATACAGATGTTAGAGAACTGATTTCCACATAGTCACCCTCTTGTTTCCTGTGCCAGGCTGTGGTGATACTCTGACCAGTCCTACAGGAACCATTACCAGCCCTGGCCACCCAACAAGCTATCCCCATGGCGCTAACTGTACCTGGTACATCAGTGTTCTACCAGGAAACCTCATACGGCTGTCGTTTGATTCCTTTAATCTGGAGTACCATCTGAACTGCAACTATGACTACCTGGAAGTTTATGATGGAACCGGAACAACTGGGAATATGACTGGGAGGTACGACAGACGCTCACAGAGCCCATGACATGAAGAAATAAGAAATATGACACAATAAATACAGACACCTCCTCCTGGGGCTAGGGAATTACTAGTTTATTACTGGTTTATTACTAGTTTATCACTGGTATATGACTGGTTTATTACCAGTTTATCACTGTATAGGACTGGTTTATTACCAGTTTATTTCTGTTTGATGTTGGTTTATTACTAGTTTAATACTGATTTATTATTGGTTTATTACCAGTTTATCACTGTTTATGACTGGTTTATTACCAGTTTATCACTGGTATAGGACTGGTTTATTACCAGTTTATCACTGTATAGGACTGGTTTATTACCAGTTTATTTCTGTTTGTTGTTGGTTTATTACTAGTTTAATACTGATTTATTATTGGTTTATTACCAGTTTATCACTGGTATATGACTGGTTTATTACCAGTTAATTTATGTTTGTTGTTGGTATATTACTAGTTTAATACTCGTTTACTATTGGTTTATTACCAGTTTATTACCGGTTATAAATGACCTGGTTTATCAGTGGTATAGGACTGGTTTATCAGTTGTATAGGACTGGTTTATCAGTTGTATAGGACTGGTTTATCAGTTGTATAGGACTGGTTTATCAGTTGTATAGGACTGGTTTATCAGTTGTATAGGACTGGTTTATCAGTTGTATAGGACTGGTTTATCAGTTGTATAGGACTGGTTTATCAGTTGTATAGGACTGGTTTATCAGTTGTATAGGACTGGTTTATCAGTTGTATAGGACTGGTTTATCAGTTGTATAGGACTGGTTTATCAGTTGTATAGGACTGGTTTATCAGTGGTATAGGACTGGTTTATCAGTTGTATAGGACTGGTTTATCAGTTGTATAGGACTGGTTTATCAGTGGTATAGGACTGGTTTATCAGTTGTATAGGACTGGTTTATCAGTGGTATAGGACTGGTTTATCAGTTGTATAGGACTGGTTTATCAGTTGTATAGGACTGGTTTATCAGTGGTATAGGACTGGTTTATCAGTTGTATAGGACTGGTTTATCAGTTGTATAGGACTGGTTTATCAGTTGTATAGGACTGGTTTATCAGTTGTATAGGACTGGTTTATCAGTGGTATAGGACTGGTTTATCAGTTGTATAGGACTGGTTTATCAGTTGTATAGGACTGGTTTATCAGTTGTAAAGGACTGGTTTATCAGTGGTATAGGACTGGTTTATCAGTTGTATAGGACTGGTTTATCAGTTGTATAGGACTGGTTTATCAGTTGTAAAGGACTGGTTTATCAGTTGTATAGGACTGGTTTATCAGTGGTATAGGACTGGTTTATCAGTGGTATAGGACCGGGTTT